GATATCGATAATGAATATTCAGTAATATAAACTTGCCATTTTTGTTTGAAGTATGTGTTTTTTGCAAATGTCTTATGGCAAAAAAATGCCACCATTGCACGTTATCAGAAGTCAAGTGATTTATCATGTTAAAGCCATTTAGTAACTCTGTTTGTTAGATCAACGCCAATTATATATTTTTATATACGTTTTTTTAAGAATTCTATTACTTTTTATATTCGAACCCACTTAACCACGACGAAAAGTTTCGTTTTTATTACCTTTTTACTTCTCTTTTTGAGTGTCATCCTGTTTTACTTTTCCACAAGAGTTTGGTTGCAACATTCTGTGATACTCACAGCCTCTGTCATTTCTGGTTTATTTTTTCTTTGTTGACCTAACTGTTTGCAGCGAATATTTCAGGGGAAATTTTTTAATAATTTGATTTCCATGAAAGTTTTAACTGTTTTTCTAACAAAGTTTGTTTTTGATGTAATATCTTTCTGCGAAGTTGTTACTCGCCTTTTTTGCTGGTTTCGATTGCCGAAGTTTCAAATCGCGTGTAGAATCAAATTGTCAATCGCGCGATGCTTTGTTTGGGGAAAAATGCATTGTTGCTTTGTGATGTTAGTGCTATCTATTGTTTTCACTTACACGCTTGTTATATTCTTTTGGGACAATCTGTTATTTATTTGAATGCGGGCTTCACTATCTCGCCATGTTTAAGCTTTTTCAACGTATTATTTTTGCATGTTTAAGCTATATCGTATATTGCAATGGTTAAGAATTTTTGTCGATTTTCTAATTTGTTTTTAGTGGTTATTTAACCGAGTTTAAATTAAGCAGCCCAATATCGATTTAGGGGTTGTGAATTTGGCCTCCAATTTTGAATGCCTGAATCATTTTAGTTAACGAGATAAGACGATTTTTGAGGTTTTTTCAAAAATGTTCAGAAGTTTCAAATACAAAAATAATTTACAAAACTTGAAGTTCCCAACCATGTAGTTGGGTGCTGCCAGAGTATTATCAAGGATTGCGAGTCTTGCCTCCAAATATGACTAGTCAAATCCTTGTATTTTTCGAGATATGACGTTTTTTGTGATTTTTTTCACAAATTTTCAGAAAACTTAAATTATTATGATTTTTGAAAATTTGAAATTCGCAACCCTGTAGTTGGGTACTGTCAGAGTACTATCAAAGATTGCGATTCTTACCTCCAAATATGACTGCTCAAATCTTTGTAGTTTTAGAGATATGACTTTTTTGTGATTTTTTCAAAAGTTTTCAGAAAACTTAAATTCATCAAGTTAGTAGTTTCACATTTTTTGAATTGTAGTTTTCGAGATATGATGTTTTTTGTGATTTTTTCAAAATGTTTTAGAAAAATTATATTTATTTTTTTTTCGCAAAATCTGAAATTCCCAACCCTGTAGTTGGGCCCTGTCAGAGTACTCTCAAATATTGCGAATCTTGCCTCCAAGTATGACTGCTCATTTTTTTGTATTTTTCGCTCGAGATATGACGCTCGAGAAATTATTATGATTTTTGAAAATTTGTAATTCGCAACCCTGTAGTTGGGTACTGTCAGAGTACTATCAAAGACTGCGATTCTTGCCTCCAAATATGACTGCTCAAATCTTTGTAGTTTTCGAGATATGACTTTTTTGTGATTTTTTCAAAAGTTTTCAGAAAACTTAAATTATTATTTTTAAAAATCTGAAATTAGCAACTTTGAAGTTGGGTGCTGTCAAAGTATTCTAAGGAATTACAAGTCTTGCCTCCAAATATGACTGTTCAAATCCTTGTAGTTTTCGAGATATGATGTTTTTTGTGATTTTTTCAAAATGTTTTAGAAAAATTATATTTATTTTTTTTTTCGCAAAATCTGAAATTCCCAACCCTGTAGTTGGGCCCTGTCAGAGTACTCTCAAATATTGCGAATCTTGCCTCCAAGTATGACTGCTCATTTTTTTTGTATTTTTCGCTCCAGATATGACGCTCGAGAAATTATTATGATTTTTGAAAATTTGAAATCTCGCAACCCTGTAGTTGGGTACTGTCCGAGTACTATCAAAGATTGCGATTCTTGCCTCCAAATATGACCGCTCAAATCTTTGTAGTTTTCTAGATATGACTTTTTTGTGATTTTTTCAAAAGTTTTCAGAAACTTAAATTATTTTTTTTTGCTTCAAAATTTGAAATTCGCAACGCTATAGTTCGGTGTTGTCAGGGTACTCTAAAGAGTTACAAATCTTGCCACATGTGACTGCTAAACGCGACTGCTCAAATGCTTTTATTTTCCGAGATGTGAAGTTTTTTGATTTTTTCAAAATTTCTACAAAGAACTTATCTACAAAGAAATTCAAAAAATGTGAAACTACTAACTTGATGAAGATACACTCTTATTCTCAGCGTACACCCAGGCGTCTCAAATCTTGCCTCTTAATATGAATGCTCAACTCTTTTTAGTTGCCGAGATAAGAGTTTTTTTTCATTTTTTTTCTGGAAACTTATGTTTAAAAAAATTCACAAAGTTTTTTCTGGAAACTTATGTTTAAAAAAATTCTCAAATATTGCGAATCTTGCCTCCAAGTATGACTGCTCATTTTTTTGTATTTTTCGCTCGAGATATGACGCTCGAGAAATTATTATGATTTTTGAAAATTTGAAATTCGCAACCCTGTAGTTGGGTACTGTCAGAGTACTATCAAAGACTGCGATTCTTGCCTCCAAATATGACTGCTCAAATCTTTGTAGTTTTCGAGATATGACTTTTTTGTGATTTTTTCAAAAGTTTTCAGAAAACTTAAATTATTATTTTTAAAAATCTGAAATTAGCAACTTTGAAGTTGGGTGCTGTCAAAGTATTCTAAGGAATTACAAGTCTTGCCTCCAAATATGACTGTTCAAATCCTTGTAGTTTTCGAGATATGATGTTTTTTGTGATTTTTTCAAAATGTTTTAGAAAAATTATATTTATTTTTTTTTCGCAAAATCTGAAATTCTCAACCCTGTAGTTGGGCCCTGTCAGAGTACTCTCAAATATTGCGAATCTTGCCTCCAAGTATGACTGCTCATTTTTTTTGTATTTTTCGCTCCAGATATGACGCTCGAGAAATTATTATGATTTTTGAAAATTTGAAAATTGGCAACCCTGTAGTTGGGTACTGTCCGAGTACTATCAAAGATTGCGATTCTTGCCTCCAAATATGACCGCTCAAATCTTTGTAGTTTTCTAGATATGACTTTTTTGTGATTTTTTCAAAAGTTTTCAGAAACTTAAATTATTTTTTTTGCTTCAAAATTTGAAATTCGCAACGCTATAGTTCGGTGTTGTCAGGGTACTCTAAAGAGTTACAAATCTTGCCACATGTGACTGCTAAACGCGACTGCTCAAATGCTTTTATTTTCCGAGATGTGAAGTTTTTTGATTTTTTCAAAATTTCTACAAAGAACTTATCTACAAAGAAATTCAAAAAATGTGAAACTACTAACTTGATGAAGATACACTCTTATTCTCAGCGTACACCCAGGCGTCTCAAATCTTGCCTCTTAATATGAATGCTCAACTCTTTTTAGTTGCCGAGATAAGAGTTTTTTTTTCATTTTTTTTCTGGAAACTTATGTTTAAAAAAATTCACAAAGTTTTTTCTGGAAACTTATGTTTAAAAAAATTCTCAAATATTGCGAATCTTGCCTCCAAGTATGACTGCTCATTTTTTTGTATTTTTCGCTCGAGATATGACGCTCGAGAAATTATTATGATTTTTGAAAATTTGAAATTCGCAACCCTGTAGTTGGGTACTGTCAGAGTACTATCAAAGACTGCGATTCTTGCCTCCAAATATGACTGCTCAAATCTTTGTAGTTTTCGAGATATGACTTTTTTGTGATTTTTTCAAAAGTTTTCAGAAAACTTAAATTATTATTTTTAAAAATCTGAAATTAGCAACTTTGAAGTTGGGTGCTGTCAAAGTATTCTAAGGAATTACAAGTCTTGCCTCCAAATATGACTGTTCAAATCCTTGTAGTTTTCGAGATATGATGTTTTTTGTGATTTTTTCAAAATGTTTTAGAAAAATTATATTTATTTTTTTTTCGCAAAATCTGAAATTCTCAACCCTGTAGTTGGGCCCTGTCAGAGTACTCAAATATTGCGAATCTTGCCTCCAAGTATGACTGCTCATTTTTTTTGTATTTTTCGCTCCAGATATGACGCTCGAGAAATTATTATGATTTTTGAAAATTTGAAAATTGGCAACCCTGTAGTTGGGTACTGTCCGAGTACTATCAAAGATTGCGATTCTTGCCTCCAAATATGACCGCTCAAATCTTTGTAGTTTTCTAGATATGACTTTTTTGTGATTTTTTCAAAAGTTTTCAGAAACTTAAATTATTTTTTTTGCTTCAAAATTTGAAATTCGCAACGCTATAGTTCGGTGTTGTCAGGGTACTCTAAAGAGTTACAAATCTTGCCACATGTGACTGCTAAACGCGACTGCTCAAATGCTTTTATTTTCCGAGATGTGAAGTTTTTTGATTTTTTCAAAATTTCTACAAAGAACTTATCTACAAAGAAATTCAAAAAATGTGAAACTACTAACTTGATGAAGATACACTCTTATTCTCAGCGTACACCCAGGCGTCTCAAATCTTGCCTCTTAATATGAATGCTCAACTCTTTTTAGTTGCCGAGATAAGAGTTTTTTTTTCATTTTTTTTCTGGAAACTTATGTTTAAAAAAATTCACAAAGTTTTGGATTCCTAAGCCTATAGTAGGGTGCTCTCAGGGACTCTCAGTGGTTGCAAATCTGGCCTCCAAATGTTTCCAGAGGCCCATTAAGTTCTCGAGATGACGCTTTTAAAATGGGAATAAAAAAAATTAAAAGTTCGAAATTACCAACCCTGTAATTGGGTGCAGTCAGAGTACACTAAAAGTTTGCAGATGTTGTTTCCAATATATGCGGTGTTTCATGAGTTGTCGAAAAGTTTCAAGGTATCGGAGGTGCGTTAAACGCTAGTTTCATTGAAAGGGAACTTAAATTACAAAATTTGCTGATTTATTAACTAGATGGAGGTGAAATTTGGGTCTCATTCTTTTCGGAACTAAATTCATGGTCTTGTAGGTATTCATCCTCGAGCCGTCTCTGTTCCTCTTCTTCTTTTCGCCTTTCTTCTTCCTCTCGTATTCTTTGTTCTTCCTGTTTAACAGCCAGAGAAATCTTGTTGAACTTATCCAGCATAATCAAACTGTGTTTTTGTCCGTATTCTTCTGTCCATTCTTTCAACAGTGCTTTTTGCTGGCGCTCCAGAAGAGCTGTTTTGGCATCCATTTTCCTGTTGAACTTGGCAGAGGTTGATTTAAGCTTAACAGATGCGTGTTCTTTCACTTCAGCTTCGTCTAGACTCTGGCCGTAGAGCCAGGCGAGAGAAGACTGGTTTTTGAGCACCTTCTTGTTTGGTCCGCCCTCTATCGTTGGGTCGAATTTCTTACATTTGGACACTTGGTCATACTTGACGAATACCCCGAATCCCTGAGGAGCGTCGAAGTAGTATTTACCATGGTAGTGTCCTGTGCCGAATTTGGGATCGGGCTCGTCAAGTTTGACCCCCACGTATAGCTCGGATACTAGTAGGCTGTCGTTGAGCGCTCCGATGAACTTGACCTTCCCACTGTATTTCCCATCAATGATGACTCGGTCTCCTAAATACGTAATCTTCAAATCATGAAATGCTGCAAAAATGTGTTTGGGAATTTTTTTTGTTAGTTAAAGATTATATCTAACTAGGGCTTTTTTGAAATGTTTTAAAAGCACCAACAACTTATTCAGTGACGTTCAATTGATTTGTAAGTCTTTTAACAATTGAAATTTTCAATACGCTTCACACATACAATTCGAAATTTCAAATAGATTTTGAACAAACCTTTTCGAAGAACGCTGTTTACTGAAATCATGTCTAAGATGCATCAAAGCTGATAGAAAGCTGAGGCATTTTCAGTTTTTTGATAACTGCTTTCAAAGGTATAACTTCGTGTTCGTTTATTCGCTATGATAAAAAAGCTGATCAGGCCACAGGTCAGAAAGTTCAATTTTTTCGGCATTTTACTCACTTCGACCTAAAAGGGAAAATTATGCAGATTATTGAATATGCAAGAGCTAAAAGGCTGAACAGGCTCATTCTGCTTGCGATTAGCAAGCGATATCAAATAAGAATATACCATTTTTCGGGTTAAGAGCTAGTTTGATAAAATCACTTGAATCTTGTGGCACCTGGGCTCGTATAAAATCAAAACCAAGAAACGAAGATGCTAATAAGCTCATGTGGCGTAGAGGTAAAGTATTCCTGCGAACACAAGGCACATGCCTTCGAATACAAAAGTCCGTGGCTCGAATCGGGCCAGGACTTGTTTTTTTTATAAACGGAAAATTTTCCACTTGTCAAAAACGATTTATCCGACTTTGTTTGTCTGCTTATTTTTTGTCGGCTTAGCTGTCACAGCAGGGGATTTTTCTATGATTTGAGCATTTTCATTATAATTTAAAATCTTTTGTAATGTATTCCTGTTCTGTGGAACTAATAGTGCTCCAAAAATTTCCGCACAAAGTACGAAGCAGTTTTTTGAAATCTTTAAATAGCGCCTTCTCTAATTTTTTTTCGAAATTTCGATACTTTCTGATTATAATTTGAAGAAAATTATACTTATTGTTGCAGAAGTTGCTCACATTTGCCGAGCGTAGTCACAAAATGCGGGGGCGAGTGCATTTACAAATGTGCAATCAGCTATAAGTTACTATAATCGTTTAATGCGGTTGATCACCACATTTATAGTGCCAATAATTTTTATGCCAAGTTTTTGCTTGTGGATTCCACAACAATTTGGTATGTGGATTTCACTTAGAATTTGGAATATGCTTAAAAGCTTCTCTCCGTGATAAACAGTGTGCATATCCAGAATACAGTTTGGTTTCGTGAGGTACTTCATTTTTTGGTCTATTTAAAATCAATAGCATACCTTCATAACTTGGGTTTAAATTTGGCTCAGAATTTTTGGACGCAGCCAATAGAAATTTGGAAAATTATACTTGTGCAACATATATATGCCAGTATTAAAGCGTACTCTTTCTTCATTTGCCTGGTGTCGTTTGCCTGGTTTTGGTTTGATAAGTGAGTTTCCTAAATCAAAGGAGTTAGAAAATGGCTAGATTTTACCATTTTTAGTTTTTGTTTTCTTTTTAATGAATTTATTGCAGTAATTTTTTACGCTGTAATTCAAGAAATAAATTTGTAGCGGAAGTGATGCGAAGCTTCTCCTCGCTTGTGTAAAATTTTATTACACTAGTTATAAAACGCACAGTACTTCTTTTTGAAAAATGGAGAGAGTTGCTGATTGGATAATGTAGAAACAGCTGCACGGTTGAAACATAACACAAATATCATTTTATTTGTTCACTTTTTGTTATAATTTACTGATATTTAGTGTAAAAACGTTTATAAATATGACCTTAATTAAACGTTTTCGTCCGAAGACAGCATCAGAAATCTAGAAAAATTCAGTTTGATGACAATGCAAACATAAAAATAACAGAGGAGAATAACAAGAGAAAAGATAAATTTTTCTCGCCAGCTAATCTGCAACTGAGAAAAAGAAGTCCATCATAACTGTAAGTTTATCCTTTCTCTTATTTTTCTCCTCTCTTATGTTTTTTTGTTGACATTGTCATCAAACTGTCTTAATCTAGATTTCTGATGATGTCTTCAGGCGAAAACGTTTAATTGATGTAATGTTATATTTAGGTATTTTGGAAAGGATCGTCATTTTTATCTACCAAAAAGAGCCCGAATAATAGGAGAAAGTTATCACACAAGCGTTATTATAAAAGGCATTAGGCAAATTGTGGGTCTTTTGACATGACGTGAAATGGTGCGCTATATATTTAAAGAAAAATTTTATCCTTTCACATGCTAGAGCACCTTTTTCGGGAGAAATTCTAGTGCTCTAGCATGTGAAAGGATAAAAGTTCTCACTTGCAAATTCGAACGAAAAGAGTGTTTTCGGGATTTTTTTTCTTTTTGGTCAAATCTGGAAGAAAATTAAATTCGCTCAGGCTCCTCACTTTGTCTTAGTTGTAATTGAAACTCGTTTTAAAATTTGTAACATTTTAAACTCTGATTTTAATTAATTACCTAATTAGTTTTTTTTGCTTAAAGGGGTTCGGCATGTTTTAAATTGGCTTAGAAACCTCATTTTGCTTATTTGGATTGGCAAAGTAGATTAATAATAAGATTTTGTGTGCTAAAAATAAGATTCAGGAGAAATGGAGCCTAAAATATAGTACAGCTCAAAATTTTCCAATCTAGCATTTTGTTTTCTGTTCAACTGGTTTCTAACCGCGTAATGTGTGCTTAGTTACCGCTCGGTAAATGATTTTGAATGCTAAAGTACATGCGATGATTATGTTTCTTGCCACGTGTTCCTCAAAATGAACATAGTTCGAGATAAGTTTTTGCAGAGGTATTTAATAATTTCCTCGATTTAGTAGCGTTCTCCTCATGTTTGTCTGCTAGCTTACCATGCTATGTGTGTGTGGTATCGCAAGTGTTGCGAAGCTCCGCTTTACCATAGTTTCTAGAATGTCTCGCAGCATGACTAGCAGTTTAACCAATCTGCGCATGTGGTTTTTCAAACGTGCGGAGTGTTTATTGAACTAGTATCTCTGGTGTCAAAAATTATTGGCTGAGAAAACATCTCATTGCAAAATTTAGGAGTGGAGGATTAGTTCGATTTAAACATTAGCTATGTAAAGGGTTGTGTCGATTGGATGCTATGATTTTCGGTTTGATGGCATTTGCTGGTGGAAACAGCGAATTTCTACTAGTTTCCTGTTAGCTAACCTGTCTTGACACCGTATTCGTCTTTCCAACTTCGTCTGCTGTGGTACTGCCTCTGCAATGTCAGTGCACTGGGCGTACTCCTGTTCTCTCGCATATACGGGATTTTGTGCTTGGCCAGCACCTGGAAAAAATATAAGTTCTTAATGAAGAGAATTTTGCTGGACGTAAATGTTAATCAACTATCTGTGGCTAAATAGCATGTGGTTTTTTGACCGAATCATCTGAATTTTGAATGGTTTCAAGATGAATTTTCTGCGCATTATTTGCGTTTACTCCTTTTTACCGTTGTTAGTTTAGCTGATGTGTCGCGAAGTGCATCTTCGACTCCGTGATAAATGGAAAATAATGCTTTGAAAAGATTCCTCGACGAACATAGTATAGTTAGGGGAAGAAATAGTGTGATCAAAGACTGGAACGTTCGCTTTGTTATATGTCATTTTGAACGAGGAATGGGCCACTTGTATGCAGGATTCAAATGACCTACCATTGAAACTTGAGGGCCGCGGAGTAGGATAGGATCAGTGGATGTGAACTGCCAATAATGAACAAAAAATTTCAAAAATGAACAAAAAATTGAAGTTTCACGTTTTGTAGGGGAAATAATCTTCTTTTTTATTCATTATTGGGAATTCGCTTTTTTATGCCATAGTTAGTCAACAGTGGGTACTACAGAATCTCGAAAGAGCTCGCGACGAAACCAAAGTTCCACAATTTCCAAATTTCAAAAGTTTTGAAATCTGACCTGTCTGTAAAATGAGCTACAGTGACTGCAGTCGCAAAAGAAACAATCCTTCCTCTCGAGGCTGTTCAGAATTTTCTGCTCCTCTTTCGCGCGTTTTCTCTCGGACCAGTCTGCGCCTCGACAGCAACCTAGCAAATTGAAATTCAACTATAGTTTTACTAAGTCATTAAACGTAATTTTAAAAGATACATGCGAGTTTAATTTTCTAGCTTCAAAATGTTTTCTAGCTTGATCGACAAAGAATTGGTTAAAAATGTTTTTTTTTCACCAAAACCCGCCAAAGTTCGATCTGGATTACGATAAAATCGAGAAAGTTTGCAACTCTGTCAGCGAACACTTATTTTTTCAGTTAATCCCCTTTACTTTTTGACAGGAAGTTTAATTATCGACTGATGGAATGCCTTGAAAAACAAGGTAATAAAAATTGCATTATTAATTTTTCTTGATTTGAATTTCATTCCTTTTCGTTTGGTCATCTCAAAAACTGTCATCCCCCCGGATTTGAACTCGTATTTGTAATTTGTGTACGGCTCCTTAACTCTGCCGCTCTTTGGGCGATGCCAATCTTCGTTTCGATACAGATCGGACTCTCGAAGATTCTGTTTCCGAATGCAACACTCGCGAGAGAATCCGACATCAGTCTTTGTTTTCTCCCGAATTTCGTCCCCAAGAACACTAAAATTTGAGCTCAAATGGCTATTTAATACTGCCATTTTGAGCTGCGTGCGTAAGGCTTACATTAATTTTAAAACGTGCATTTTTTGAAGAAAATTGTGTAACAAATGCTATATACAAGAATAAAAATTAGCTTGATTACACTTACTATGCTTGAATAAGATAATCTCGATTTGAACGTTTTGTAACGTATAGGCAATCTTGTTATTATATCTTTTATGAGTCTTTTGCGGTAGATCAGAAAAAGAATTTTTAGATTGGTTTTCTTTCAAGTCTACGATCTTTTTGATCATGTTCTTTTGGTCTGATTGAAATGCGGATGATGAGTTCACTTCTGGGCAAAATATTGTTTTCAGATTGATGCATGCGAATATTAGCAGAAAGGTTCCACCAATGATCTCTAATGTTCTACAATGGGAGAAAAGGTCAGCAGCTTTCACGAGTTTGCGCTCCTTGAGCGAGAATGCAGCCAAAGCTAAAGAAACCCAGTCAACGTTGGAAACTTCTAATCCATATTATAACAAATATAAAGACAAAATTGCGAGATTGAAAAAAGAGAAGCCTGAATTGTTTCTGGACAAGCTGACTGCTCTGAAAATTCCTGAAATTGAGTCAGAGAGCTCAATCCAGAATTCAAAATGTTCTCCAAAAGATCTAACAGCTAGTCAAAAAACACCTGCTTTAAGTTGTCCAAATAACTTCAAAGGCAGGAACGAAGTCTCATCTAACGGCTCACAGGAGTTCTCTTTGGATAAAATAATGCGCGTTGACCTCCTGAAAGAATTACCGAGCGATGAAATTGGAACTATCTGGAAAAAATACCACGCGGACAAAAATTTTGTTTGTGCCCTAATAACCCAATCCGATTATCAGCATTTTCAAGAACTGATGCGAAACTATCCAACGTTTTTGTTAGCCCTTCCAAAAACTGAGGGCTTTGAGTTCATTTACTCACAGGGACAGTTTTCGAGTCTACTTTTCACAAAACTAAGCAGTTTTCAAATGTACAAAGAGAATGCACCTATAATTCTATCCTTGAATTTCTACACTGATTTGGCGGCAAGTAAGGAGATTGTTTTGATGAGAGGAGAATACAATGCAGATGTTTTGATGCCAATTGAGGCGCAGACACTGGTGAATCAACATCAGCTGTTCTATAATAGAGGAGTCACAGATGAAGACAGAGAGAGACTAAAACTGGTCCAGACTTTTAACTCTAATCCGGATAAGTTTGATTATAATGAATTGTTGAAATATATACCTGGCTATGGAAACAGTTGATAAAATAAAAGACTTTAAAGTAAGGAGAACACATACGCAATTGTACTACTTTTCCAGGGTCGTAGACATAAAGATTGGTTTTAGAGTGTCTCAAGATTAGACATCGTATAATAAGAGCGTAAATTGTTCCTATCATTGAAAATGGGGAGGAACTTAGTATTCGGGTGCGTTTTAGTTTGTTTGTTTTCCACGTAAAATCAGGTGCCACAAATAATCATCGGAAAGGGTGGAATGATATACCAAATTAAAGCCCTATCAGTCATGATTCGAACGACATTAGAAAATTTTAGAAAACTTTTACCAGTGTCGAGAAAAACTGGTTTAAAATTTTTGATGCTTAGTTCAATTTCGAGCGAGTAACGCGATCGAGTAACGTTCGTTATATAGAAGTTTACTAATTTTTAAATACTTTAAGGCTCACAAAAGTTAATTTTACTATCAAGAAAACTAATGTTGGATGGTTCATTCAGCGTATATTTAGCAAAAAATATGTACAAATAATAAGAAAGTTTTTTTTATTTTTTGTTTGCTATTCATTTTTGAAGAAAAATGTGGTCAATATTGCCTAATTCACTAATTTATCATGTTTTTGTATAGTTCTCGAATCAAATTGCTCTCTGAAATGACACTAAATTGAAGAGAAAAAAGAAAAAACCTTTTTTTAGTTTCTTATATGAATATGGTCGGAACTTTCTGGGCTGTCCTTGTCCTTGGCAAATGAACCAAAAGCAAAATGAAAATCTTGGCGTATCCTGGGTCATACGTTTTTATTGTTTAGTGTGATGATTCTTGTTTTTTTAAGAGTAACGAACATAGTGAAGACTAATATCTTCATGTCTTGGTGATTTGTTGTTTTTTTTTTCACGAAAAAGTCTTAAATTTGATCACGCTCAGATTTGATTTTTCGCCTCAGATTTCTTTTTCAGTTCAGTTCATTTTCATTGTTAAAACGAAAACAATTTCCTGAAAGCAAAAGTGTAGAGGTCAAGAAACACGTGATCGATTTCTCGTTCCGAAAAAGTATTTTAATGTTCAGATTTCCCATCGGAATCACAAAATTACCTATTGATCCAGTTTTCTCAACTTGAGTAATATTTATCAAAGATGTGCCAATTATAAAATCGACCTGAAATTCCAAGAGCTAGAAGGGCGTATATATATTTTTTTTAATTCGAAAGCTAAAGATTAATCAAAAAACAAGTCAGTTTTTTTCTCTTTCCTTGCGTTCATAATTCTTTTCCAGCTGTCTATGATTTTTTGAATTCATTTCAGCCTCAAGACGTTTCTCTTCCTAAAAATTTTTCTGTTGAACCTCGCTTCAGTTCTTCTCTCACTCTGCTTTTGCTCGATACATCTACTTTTCACCTTTTCTTTTCAGTTCTTCAATTCATACTAAGACCGTTTTACATTGGATCAAAATAATTTGAAAATAATAATGTGTACCAACTATTTTACTGGTTTGATATCGAAAACAGGCTTGTCTGTTTGGTTAATTTCGATGTGCAACAACTCATAACGAAAAGGACAGAATAACAAACTAGCCGGCCTAAAACAAGGCAAAAGCCAATTGGTCGAAAAATAGACCTTCCAAAAATTTCCTTATGTTTTTTTTTCATTGTCATTGAGAAAAACTTGGTTCATTTTTATGAAATTATTCCAAATAAAAATTATTCCGACCTCAATGAAAAATCAACAAAAGAAATAGTCGGTAAAACTAAAGAAACCCGCATTGAACCTTCGAATTAGTTTGCAGCCGAGTAGTCTCCGTATATGATAATTCTTTTTTTTCATGCTCCCACATTTGCGTGTCATTAAAAAAACTAAAACATCCCAATCTGTTTTTAGGCAGGTTTTCCAAAAAATTGGACTTCTTGAAAAGCAATTTTGGTGTCCGAAGAATCTTTAAGATTTTTGCACAATTTCGACAGCATCGATTATTACTGCGCTGAAATAACATTTTTTAAATTCGCGATCAAATTTCAAGCACTGATAATCTGTTTTGGCTTCGTTGCGATTTCAATTTTTAAAGAGTAAAATTTTCGGTTTCAGAAGTCTTTGATTTTTGGTTAATTGGGATTGACCAAATTTAAATCTTTCAATTGTTCACAAGATGTGTTTTTATTTGCTGTAATGTTTTTTTTGTTCTTTCAAAAAGACTGGCGTAAGTATTTTTGAACGGATTTTTTGTTTGGAAATTAAAAGAGCTTAGTTGAAATGATATTCAGATGAATAAACTAAGTTTGTAAGGGGTACTACAAAAGTAAAAGAATACTTTGCATGCATTAATGAAAAGAAGAGAAAAAACACTTTGTTCAAAAATCACAAGTTTTTTGGCAGATGTATTTCCCTTTAACGCTGACCTTAGTCAAAGAACATTAAAACAAAATTTCAGAAAACAAAGTAAATACGCATTGAATTTTTCGACTCAGTTGCAGCTGAGTAATCTCCGCGGGATAACTTTGGTTTTTACTTCATCTTTCTCTCATAACTGGCTAACTTTAGAAGAACAGCAAAAAAAATCAGCCCAATCTGGTTTTAGGCAGTTTTTTTAATAAGTTGCGCATCTTGCAGAGCATTTTGGTATCTGAGGATTTCATTTATTTGTATAAGCATTTTGTCAGCATCAACTAAGGTAGTGCTGATTTTGCATTTCCAACTTGCGATCAATATTCAACCACTGTTAGTCTAGTGCATAGCGCTAGCAGTTTTTTTTCAAGGCTAAAGCTTGCCCTATCAGAAGACTTCTAACTTCTGGTCATTTGTTCCATCGTGTTTGACAAACTTCGAAACTTTTGATTGTTCACAAGATGTGGATTTGCTCGCTGCGATGCTTTGTTGACTTCGTTCAAAATAAAAGATTCGTAGCGTTCAATCATGTGGTGAGATGCTTTTCTAGGAAACATTAGGAAGAAATTTTCAATTCAGAAGTGTTATATCTTTTCTTTCTGGCCATTTTATTTGTTCCATTGATTCTTATAAACTTTGAACATTTTCACTGTTCACAAGGTGTGGATTCGCTCGCTGCAATGCTTTATTTACCAGAAGCTTACTCGAAATTTCTGGCATATAATATTTCTAAGTTCAGTCATGTGCTGATTTTGAAAATTTCGAACTTGTTTAAAGTATGTCCACCTTACTAAAATACCAAAAAAACCTAAATAGTTAATCCGCATTGATCTTTTTGACTTCATAGGCCTAATTTGGTTGTTTGGGAAGCTGATGAGCTCGAATTACTCCTTTATCCCGCAGAAAAACGACAGACAAAAAATTGACCTGGCACGGCGTCAAAAAAGGCTAATTATTTAGGACAAACTTTGCGCTGATGATGGAATTACGCTAACAAAAGAACTGCTGCTGCAGGTATTTCGGAAAAATTACCATTCAAGTATAAGGTTCTCAGAAGAAGTCAAGTTGTCCCTAATTTTTTTCTAACTTTCTGTTATGAGCGCTCAAGACCTTTGAATGTCTATATCGCCAAAGCAAATCGACCGTTTTTTTACGCAGGAACAAGACTCTTTTCCTAATTTTCCGCTGTATGAAAAGTAAATCAAAGCCAGCAGCTTCACAAAGAGCCAAGTTACGCCCTTAAATTTAAATTTTCTGTATGGTTTTCGTAAATGATTCTTTAGCAAGAACACATCTAAGCTTAGCAATGATATTCTGGCTACTTACGCGCAACAAAACATAATTTCTAAAATTTGTAACCGACTAGCTTCTTCAAAATAATTGCACTCAGTATGTGTCAAAATTTTTGTCAACTGCAAAAAAATGAGGCTTTAGCAGCAAAACTGCTTTGCATTTGCGAGTGAAGGACTCGATTTGAACATTTGAAATTCTTCACGATTGGCATCACCCAAGCGAGTGAAAAGATCTAGCCAATAAAGTCAAAAACCTTTCATCGTACTACAAGATGGTATGTTTGGCGAGCTATTTTCTTGGCACACTGTCTTACCAATCTTGCGAGGCCAAATTTTGCACTGGATAGGTGCACAACTTGGTGTGTGTAGGCCTCTGGAATTCAGAGACAAACTTTTGAAGATGTTAAAATTTTACCAAAACAATAAAAAAAACGAAAGAACAAAGCAAGATCCAAAAGATAATAAATCCAGACAAATTGGAAACAGCAATACAAAGACTTGTTGCTATTGCAAAACGATTTCCTTCAGGCTGACTTCTCATTAAGGTCCCGGACAAAGACGTCAAAAAGTCAAACCGTATCGCTGAATATACGCACCGTTTATTTAGACCCGCCGGCCTCTTTTGTGCAACAGGACCTATTCGCCGCCTCGAGGGTAAACCTTATCACCCTATCATTCTTGATGGCAAGCATAAACATGTGGAATTGTTTGTCAGATATTTTATTGTCAACATCAGCACTAATTTGTCAACATCAGCATTAATTGGATTATCTGCGCTCAATAATTCAATTGGAACTAGCGAATACTTAATCTTTGCGCTTTGTTTGCGCTTACAGTTGAGCGGCTTTATTACCGTCGGGTCAGTCATGAGGATGACTTGTTCGCTTTTGTAAGCGAGTTTTCTACACAAATTTAGAAAACGGAAAACTAACACTTGAAGTTCGTGAAACGACTTCCTAGTTATCCAAACATTCACTGGAGGCTCGCATAAAAACAAAATAAAGTGCAAGCCCACATAGTTTGCACTTTTTCCTGCCATGATACTAGCTTCTCTTCGCTCTCATTCGGGAACATTTTGACCACCGTAAACAATACTTCCGTGCACAGAGTTACAAGAACAAATTCGCACGCGGATACTGATGATCACTTGAACACCAGCGATTTAGTCTGGATTTTCACTTGAAAACCGGCGAGTTAGTCTGGACCTTTAATTAAGAAAAAGATCTGCCGTAATGACAGCCTGCACCGAAAATTAACGCGACCGACCATTGAACTCGTTCCATTTTTTTTGCTGCACCGGGGGCCGAAATTGTTCTCGCTAGATCTACCAGCGAAAAAATAATTGCTGTACTTATAAAGTTTCTAAAAAACGTTGTGAAATCTCTGTCACCTG